GCACCTGCAGTTCAGAAGCTTGTGACTTGTTGATGTGGGTTGTGTGGGTTTGCTTTCCACGGCACTGTCCAACTTGTCCAAGTTGTGCGGATGCGGATGCGGATGCTCATGCGCGTGCAGCTGTGGCTGTTGCCGGTGAGCGTTGCAGGCGTTGCAGCCTCAGGGAACAGAGTGTGCGGAGGGTTCTTCAGCTTGCTTTCCTCGTGCATGCGCCGCGCCGGCCGCATCCGGCCGCTGTCTGCATTTCTCAGGCTTGGCCAGGTACCTGAGAGACCTGAGAGTCACGCCGCGCCATGACTTCGAAGCTTCGGTGGCGCCCGTGCCGAAGCCTTGTTCCAAAGTTTCAAAGTTTCTAAGGCCAAGGAGTTCCCGCTGGCAGCAGAAAAGAAAGGACTGGCGCTCATTTGCATTTGAAGGGTCGCAATTGTAATCATGCAGCCCATCCGCCAAGCAAACCCTCTCGGCTTGCCCCGAGAAGTGCTGGCTCACGAGCACGATCACTTTATTCTCATCTTCCGTCCTCCTCGGATGTTTACCGAGGGGCAGGACTTAGGTCCCATAGAGTTTAGGTTAGTGCGTGAAGTAAATCAAGAAGTAGGATGTGTTTGTCCCTTTCCTAATTATTTGCGGTTTTTGCTGGTTGTCGCAATCTTCAATCAGCCCAAGCGGAACTAGCCTGGAAAGAACCCATTTTGGTGAGGCCACATCTTTTTCAAAGCAACCAAAACATCGGTGCACCAAACGTTATCCTTGCACCGATGTCACGCTTCTGTTGTTTGTTTAAGGCGTGCATGGCGGCCTTCCTTTAGGGAGACATGATCAACAATTGCAAAGGTAGAGTCACCCGGAGTACAACAGAACCTCAAAAAGGGCCAAACCCTCAAGCCTGAACCTGAACTTGTAGCTCTAAGCCCTTCACAGAAGAATTGAATGGTGGAGCTCCCGGTGGGGTGTGGTAATCGCTTAGCCGCGGGGCTGGCAGTGCTTCTGGCCCTGACCTCTGCAACGTGGAGGTTTACGTTTAGGGTTGAGGGTTTAGGATTCAGGGTTCAGGGTTTAGGGTGATGTATATTGTCATATCGTTGGATCCTGCTGGTATGCCGCATCCTCGCTTTGCGTGATTCCTCTCTACATGGGGCTTTTAGGACGCTCCCCATCCCAAAAAGATGCAGGGTTTAGGGTTGACAGTCATTTTTTTGGTACGCTCTGAATGAACCAACTGCTTCTTGAGATGTCGATACCTTGTAGTCAGATTTCGGATCCTGGGCAGATTCGTTTGTCTAAGAGCTCAATGACGTACTTCGGCGTCCACACAAGGGGCCTCACTTCTAGAACGCTTAAAATTACAGGTAGTAACAGGTTTAGGGCTTGTACTGGGAATCATAGTGGCCGCTACAAGGGAAATTCTACAAGCAAGGAGTCCTTCGTGCTGCTTCTGATTTAAAGAATTCCAGCGCTTCGGAGTCCACTTCAGAGGCAGCCCCATTTCTAGAAAATGCGGATGATGGTAGAGCTAAATCTGCAAAAAGCTGTATGAGGCAACTCCGGACGCGACGTGCACAGGTCGCAGCCTCTTGCAGAAGCGCTCAGACGTTGGTGCGGCCACAGGCGCCTTGCAGGCCGCTCCCAACAGCGCTGTGGATGTTGTAACTTGGCTTTTTATAAGCAGGGTTTAGGGTTTAGGGTGAAGGACAAAAAATCTCCCAAGGGTGCAATCCCTGTAATGCCCCCACATACCCTTCCTTCTGTCACCAAAGCCCAAGAACCCAAGCCATCCTACGCCCTGGACCCCCAGACTTAAAGAACCCCCAAACCCCAGGCAATTGTTGGTGCTGGCTATGCTGGGCTTTCCATCGCCCGGGAGTTGCAGAAGGCCAACGTCTCCTTCAGGCTATTTGAGGCACGACACCGAGTCTGGGCGAGGTTCAGGGATTTGAGTCGTATTTTATTTGGGGATACTATGGTACCCAATATAGAGTAAGATTATATCATCCTTTTGGGGTATATTATTTTTTGTAAGGAATATAATCTTACTAAGTTCAACCACCAAAAAACGCTACTCATTTGGGTTTTAGGATTGGGGTTTGAGGCTTTGAGTTTCGGAGAGTTTGAAAGCATCACAGACCCTGGATTTTCCATTTGGCGCCAAAAAAAGGATCCCCAGAAACCTTAAATCCTGTGAGAATCCGAATGTGGGCTTCAACTTTAGCACACGGGCTCCCCTTCCCGATGAGAATGCGGGCTCTCCCCTGAAATCTGGGTTGGCCGTAGAAAGTATGGTATAGCATAGGATAGCATAGGATGGTACAGTATAATATAGGGTAGTATAGTATAGTATAGTACGTAAACATTGGCATAATATTACATATGAATGCATGAATATGACATACTATAACCAGAATCGAACATGGAGCTTCTCTCCTTCTTTCTGTAGCCTCCCACGCTTGACTCAGGAATAGGTGGGCGAATCTTGGACGAGGACCTCAGCAAGCAAGGTAAAGCCGATGATGTTATTGAGTCTGGGTTGCTGTTAAGCAAGTGAAGTTAAGCTACCGTAGGCTGTGGATAAATATAGGAATACAATCGTATACTTTACATTTACTATAGGTTTAGGGATTTATTTTGGTAGCTGAATTTGAGCTCCTAAACAAGCGGCTTAGGAGCTCGGTGGCCAGTGGCTGCATGATACGCACGACGGGGTCCTCACCTTACTGCAGGAACTAGGCTTCGAGCTCTATCAGCCCGGACAGCAAGCAGGCTGGCAGAAATTTCCCTGTGGCTCGGCTGTTGTTAAGGAATTGGAACATAAGATAGCAAACAAGGACGCTAGATATAGCCACTGTTGGACCATTGTTACTTACGATCAGTTTCATCACTGTTATCATGGCAGGTTCCTTACTTGGGCTTCTCCATCTTTAAACCTAACCCCCCAACCCTTCTCTCCCTAAAATCCCCGAAGTGCTCTTCCCAAAACCCCTCGACCCCTAAGATACTTGAGGTGGCGGCAACTGCCCGGAGCGAGTTTCCACAAGTGAGGGCTGGGTGAACGCCTCGAGCATGCATGGGAAGATGGTCGTGCCCATGACGATGGAAGAGACGTACGCCTTCGAGGAGGCTTAAACTCCATAGGCTTAGATTTTTTTCATGTACTCGTACGTGCCCTGCAGGGCTCTTAGTGCTGATGTTTGTTTTGCCAGGCGTATTGTTTTTTTTATCCGTTGTTTGCCCTAAAAGCTTTGTCTACAGATTGAAACGACTCACATTTCCGCTAGCAAAACCCACTACAAGCAAGATCTTCAGACTTTACCAGTCATGGCTGCAACGACGGCTCTTTCGTGAGCGCTCGCAAAGCCTAGAGGGGTTTGTTGCGCACTGTGCTTACTGAGCACAGGCGGTGTTTGGGTAAGCATCTGCTTTTACTTGCATTGATTCTCGCAGGCGTCTGGAAGAATGTCGCTTTCCTGTAAGTGTTCCAAGATGGGCTGCTTTGCAAGTGCTGTCATGGACGGAATTTGTGGTGACCCTTTCGCCTTGGGCGGGTTGGAGGATGTAGGTAGAAGACACCTCTGTAAAACTGGTCTGGGGTGTCAAAAAAAAGAGGCCCGCAGATGTCTCAATATAGCATTGTTTAAAAGCAATCGCAGCACAAAACACAGAAATCACGGGCGCACATGTTCTCCAGGCATGAGGTAGCTGAGATTTTCTTAAAATTCTCAAAGAGCCCATCAAGGCTGCGAATTCTTCACATTCCCGCCCACTGCGAAGATATCGCAGACCAACCACTCAAGCCACGTCCTGTTAGGGTTTAGATGGTTTAGGTGTAGGGCTACGCCTGCATTTCCAGCTCTTGAGTGGTTGGGATGCAAGAGGAAAGTTTTGAACAGGCCCGCATAGGATTCTAGGGAGCCTCCAGAGACTTCCAACAAAATGTCAAGGGTGTTAGGGTTCAGGAATTAGGATGTAGGGATTGGGAGTTACGGGTGCTTGTGGGGGAAAGGGGGGGGATGTTTGCATCTTTCCAATGGCCTCTATTCAAATCACCATATGTAGCCCTAAAATGCACCTAGATTTGCACCTACACTCTGGCTTAAGCGTCAGTAAGTGGAAAGGGTACCTAGAATCATTTGCTGACCTAGAAGTAGGTGACATGTAAGAATCGAAGCTATGTTGGCTCGTCGGTACGAGACAGAGCCCGAGAGGCTCTGGCGGCGGTGGCAAAGGACATCTCGAACACGCCTTGTACAGAGCCATTGTCCCACCCCAAGGCGCGTGTGGGGTTTTGGGTTTTGGGTTTGGGGCTTAGGGTTTAGGGTTAATAGTAATATAATATATCCCTTATATAGTCCCAGTTTCCATTTCATTTTCCATTTTCTTTTCCATTTGATTCTCCATTATTGGGTACCATAGTATCCCCCCCAAAAAAACTAACCCTAAACCCCATTAGGTTTTCGGAGTTTACGGCCAGGCCAAGCTCTTCGACTCACTCTCCTACGACGCCTACCTCCGTGAGCATCACAAGCTCGATGCTGGGCCAGGCTTGAAAATGTGAGCTTCCATTCTTCAGGCTTCCTATGTCATCTCTATGAAATCCGTATATGATATAGACATTGAATTATACTTCAGCTTCCAAGCTTAGCCCAGGATGCATTTCCGAATGTCTACAGCAAGTTGGCAGACCAATGCCTGGAAGCGGAAGCCGCGAAGCACGTCTCGGCACTGCACTGTCTTTGGAAGGCAAGTTGCAATGGTGACCTGACCTAAATAAAGGGTTTAGGGTTTAGGGTTTGGGGTTTAGGGTTTAGGGTTTAGACCTAAACCCAGGACCTCAACCCAGCCTTTAAGGCAAAATGTCCGATTTTCGTTTTTATCACGAAAGCTAGTATTCTGGTCTAGCTTGAGTTTCTTGTCAAGCGTTAGCTTGCAACATGGGGTGTGGGGGGTGGGACCCCCGCTGATTGTTCACTTTTTGTGTGGTTTTCAGCCAGACAGCAGGGCAGGGATGGTTTCGGGCGTGGGTCGGGGGTTATCCGACCTTTAAAGTCTTAAAGACCACCTAAAGAATCGTAAAGAACACTAAATTTTGCGAAGAACGGACAAAAGGGTTTGAAAGAACACCTTACCAATTCTTCAAATTTGAAGACCTGACCCAGGCGGGCTGCACACGAAAGGCGTTCAATATCGAGTCCGAGGCTCGGCTGCAGTTTCAGGAAGCTCGTGCTTCGGGTTTGGTTCAGGGTTTAGGGTGCGGGTTTAGGCTTTGGGATTTTAGGGTTTGAGGGTGCTAAGTTTTTTGGGTTTGGGGTTTTAAGATCTTAGAAGGGTTTGGGGCTCCAGAACACCATAAGAACAGAAAGCTATGGTGCCTACAACGTACGTATATTACAGGTTTAGGCTGTTAGGGCAGTTTAGGGCTTGGGGATGTTTGGAAGCTATGTTGTAACGCTAGTTAGTTTGCTCGCTCCTGAACAGCTACCCAGGAGGGGGCCCACAGGCCCCCCTACGGCGCCTCGCCGCTCAAATGCCCCATGCGGCCCTTCATCTGGGTGCTGCGGTGTCGGCCATCGAGCAGAACGAAAAACACACGAAGCTAAAAGTTCCTGGAGCTCCAAGCGGAACAGCTGTTAAGCGTTGTTTCATAATCAGATGACACAACATTGTTGGAGCAGAAATGGAAGTAGTTTGTTTTCCTTGGCCACTCCGCAAGCCCGGAATCCCAGGTTCTGGTGGCCAATACATCTCAGGAAGTCCTTGCAAGGCATGTTGTTCTGGCCGGGCTTCCGCCGCACCAGATCTTGGGAATCCAGTTTGAACCGAATCTCCCAGAAGAAGTCGTCCAGCTGCTGCATGGCCTGTAGCCTGATCGAGTTCGCCCTTGTTGTACGTTTGACGAAAATTACGACTGCACTTGCATTCATCACTATATAATAACCCCTAGATAGTCCCCATCATCCCTATAGTTTCCATTTTCTTTTTCTTTATCCCAATATAACCCCAATAATATTAATTAGGCTGTTAACTTTCTAGGTGCTTCCAAATGTGATCCAGGTCGCTTGGTTCCATCCGCAAGTATTCCTTGGTGTACAAGACTCCGTGGTGGCGGGCCAAGGGCTACAGCGGTTCCCTCCGATATGTCAACTACTCCTTGCCATCTTTGGACGCTCAACGGTGCTTTGACAACTCTCCTTATTCCGGGTCCAAAGGAGCCTAGGCTCCTTTCAAAAGTCATTTTGCATGTTTAAGATTACAGCCAGGGCGTTAAGACTTAGGGTGTAGAGTTGGGTTATTTAGGGGGTCATGCTTCGGACTGTATAATGAATCCTCTACAATGACAGGTAACTCAACGCCTTTTGCGGCAGCACCGCCCCAACTCTGATTAGGTGCCCGAGACATGTTGGCAGCTATGAAACACCATTAGAGACTCTTAGATTTGACAATATGAAATACGATACGACTTTAAACTTTACACCCTAAACCTGACAGGAGTTCTGACCTGCATGACCACCGGCGACGTGAATCGGGGCTTACAGTCGCTCTCCAGGGAGGTCCGAATTTCTGCTGAAACTATTCAGAAACGCTGGCCTTAAGCGATAACCCCCGAAGCGTTGAACCCTTTACCCCAGAAGCCTGAGAGCATGATTCGAAAAGACCCCACAAAAAGACAGAAGCCAAAACCCTGAACATCCTGAACCTTTCGATCTAAGACAGGCTCCTTTTCCTACATTTTTGGACGATGATAGCCATGCTGAGAACCCTAAGCCCTGCTCGAGACTGTGGTCCAGGTGCGCTTTGAAACTTTGCAAAGCATGGTCCGCGAAGCCTTGGGTTCTCCAGAGGAGGAAGACGCTGGGCCATTCCTACACCAAAAGCCTTAAACCATAAGCAATTTTTGGGTTTAGGGTTTAGGGTTTAGGGTTATATTAGGGTTATATTGGGGTTATATATTGGGATAATGGAAAAAATGAAATGGAAACAATTATATTATAATAGGGTAGTAATGGAGAATCAAATGGAAAAGAAAATGGAAAATGAAATGGAAACCAGGGTACCCCCAAACCCTAAACCCTAAACCCTACCCCCCAAACCCTAAACCCTAAGCCCGAACCCTGGAATGTTCTTTACCACCCAAGCTTCGAAGGCCTCACGGAAAAGGTTCTGTTGTAGGAAGCTCGAGCTTCTTGGAACAGGATGGGAAACCACGCATTTACTACCTTTTCTGAGTTGCACCCAACACCCTGAGTGCTAACCGTTAGCTGCTAACCACTGAACCCGAATCCTTAGTGCTTCTGCCCGGCTCGGAAACAGTTCAGGATGGGTTTCCACGAGTGGTGGAAAAAGATTGGAGCAAAGATGCCCGCTCTGGTGGACATTAAAATTCGCCGCCCCCACCCCAGCTCCCTTAAGTATTACTGTACCCCGTTTTCCAAGGCTCCGACCCCAATCTCTAAACCGTAACTATTGAAACCCCTGCTCTGTGTGTACCCTACACCCTAAGGCCCAGATCCTTCCATATTATATGGTAGTTTCCATTTTCTTTTCCACTATCCCAATACAACCCCAATATATCCCCTATATATATATATATACCCTATTAGATTTTAGTAGTTTCCATTTTCTTTTCCATTATCCCAATATCTCCCCAATATATTATGCCCTATATATATATATATACCCTAATATGTGTGGCATAGACTCCCGTGAGGTGGAGCAAACGTGTTCTACTCACCTGGAGCTTTCGCAACTTCCTGGCCAGGGACGTCCAAGGCGGGCATTTATCTTCACAGAGACAGTACGATTATGGGAATGAACTTTAAATAGCTGTAGTTCGGGTCCCTATGATATGGTTCCTGTTATATTACAGGTCTCTTTATCGGCTTCCCACATCTTAGAACAGTAGTTTAGGCAAACTCCCATATCCTCAGAACATCTTAAATGATTCAACGAGATCTCGAGCAGCTGGGCAGGTGTTCTTTCACCACCGGCTTGACAACTCGATTTGGAGTGCTGGCGCAGACTACTCAAGCACGAGCCACGGCTACATGGACGGAGCTATACTGAGTGGCCAGGCTGTTGCAAGACTTCTTGTACAGAAGCTGCGCGCCTCCTGACTGCTGGCAGGAGGCAGTGCGTGGCGTGGTAAGGTGTAAATTGCGCAAGCTTGCAGTTTCAAAGTGTAAGACAAAAAATCCATCAGCGATCTTCACTCTCCTCGCAACAAGATCATTCTTTGGGGCAGACATTATTTGTGGCTGCGGCCTCACGTTGGGTACCCTTTTTTGGCAAAGGTAGCTCCGCTCTAGGTCCCTGTTGGGCCTGGCCCAAACTTTGTGCATCAGTTTTAAGAGTCAAAGTGTAAAAACGTGTAAGGTTGGTAATGTCTGGTGGCTTGCGGTGGAGTGTATTGCTTGCTCCAGGTTTCAGGCTCAAGCTCACAAGTACAATCCCCACAATGCACATGAAGCTGTTGGCGACTGGTCCTTGCTCTGCTTTTGCGTCCCAATGCATCAATCCAGTTGCTGTTCTGCAGCCCCTCTTACATCTCAAGAGTTGGGGGATCTAGCCATGAGCTTCGCGTTGCAGAAAATATGATGGGCTTGCAGCAGCCTTTGCAGGGCAAAATCATCCCCATCAAGGAGGATGGAGATCCAAGCCAGCTGGGTGATGCGCGCAAGTCCAGCAGAACCAAACCGGATTCACCGCGTGGAGCCCCCCCAGCTTTACTAGGCAAGCCTCTGAGACCAGAATCTGATGAGTTCGAAGGGGAAGCCGATTCCTTTGGCCTGCCATACATCCGCCCTTCGCAGCACACTGAAGCAGGGTGTGGGCCTCAGCCGAGGAGATTTATTCCTTGTTTGCAGTCCTCTCCAACGGTTGCTGAGGTCCGTTGCCCGAGGACAGTTTCCATCTGCAGCGAAGCAGATCTTGCATGACCTGCGGCATGGAGTTCACGACTCCAAGAGACGCGCAAGCGCGCCCGCAATCCATTCTCTGGAATTCAATAGCCCGGGCCAAGCCCGGAAACGAGCGACAGTTTGTGCGCATCCTGTAGCAGAGATAGAGCCATTCGAGCATCCCTTCGCGGCAAATCGCAGGGAAGAGACTCTCAGTCTGGATCTGTTGGAGGTGATGGAGGATCATCAGAAAGAGCAGAAGGATGAACCACAGGAGGTTGGCACAGTCGCCACAGGAAGGTCGAAGACCCTGGCAAAGCAATCCTCCAGAATTTCAACTGCAACATCCAGCATGAGATGGAGACAGCCAGAATGTGCCTGGGACTTTCAGCTCACTCTGACTGAGGGCGAGTAGGGAATAAGGGAATATAATCCCTGTATACAGTTAGGGTAGGCCTTGCCCAGTTTGGGTAATTGCACCACCACCGCCCAAATAGTAGCCATTATATCCTAAAACACTTTACCATATAGAAAATAAGGTGCAATTGCCCAGAATGGGCAAGGTAAGGGGTCGCCCAGTTTGGGTAGTTACATCACCGTCGCCAAATAGCAACAATTATCCTTCAATCTACATTACCATATAGAATTTACCCCAATATAGCTCAATAATCACAGTTGGTTGACGGTGATGTAACTACCCGAAAACGGGCGAGGTCTACCTTGTCCATTTTGGATAATTGCACCTTAAAATAGGATATTTTCTATATGGTAAAGTGTTTTAGGATATAATGGCTACTATGTGGGCGGTGGTGGTGCAATTACCCAAACTGGGCATGGCCTATCCTAACTTATGATACCCTATATCTATATGTTCCCTTATTCCCTACTACCCAGTAAGCAATACTAAAGTTTTTTTTCTGAGATTATTCTGCAAGATTTCTTATTCAACAATAAGAGATCTGAAAAATAATGGTCATAAGAGAACGATAAGATGGCAATGGGAAACTTATACGATGGTAAGAGCATGTGAGATGATCATATGAGGGTTATGCAATGGTCATGAGAGATTTTGAAATAAGTGGATTATTAGATTGGCAGGGTCATCTTATTCAAAGAATTAAGATGCAGATTAGACAAGCGCACGAGGCTCCATAAAGGATGCATACTGCATCATAATGAGCTATATATGCGGTTATAGTAGAGAAACGGGATTACATGGGGATTATATTCCCTTATTCCTTACCAGGCCCCAGTAAGATTGTGTGCCGTGGTATGCCGGAAAGGGCCGGTGACTTGGAGAACTGCTTGCATCAGGTGAGCTATAGCCCCAAATTCCTTAAAGGGGGATTCTATAGGGGTGCATTAAAGAGGTCATTAAGGGACATTCTAGGAGATTTGGCCCTAAATCCCAAACCCTACACCCCAACACCCTAAATCCTAGTGATATTAAGGAGGATACTAGGAGTTTAGGCCCTAAACCCTAAACCTGTAGGGTTATGCAGGGGGATATTAGGAGTCTTAGACCCAAAACCCTAAACCCTAAACTAAACCCCTAGGATTATTAGGGGAGTACTAGGAGTCTAGACAATGGCATCAGGTTAATGTCTCGCAAGCCTTGGCTTTGTATAGCTGATGGCCGAAACACTTGAGGGTCTCCAACTATTAGGGGTACATGAAAGGGGGATATAGGGGTTATGTAGATGTTGCTTGGGGTTTAGGGTTTAGGGGGGTTTCCCGAAATTAGGGGTACCTTTAAAGGGGTATATAGGGGTTACATAGGTGTTACTGAGGGTTTAGGGTTTAGGGATTACGGGAGTTTCCCGAAATTAGGGGTTCCACTTGTAAGGATTGTAGTATTTTCCGGTCTATATTGGGGTTCCCCCATTTTGGGAAACTGCCATTTTTGCAGGGCTTGCTGGAGGCTAGGACACACTCGAGTCATGATGAGCCATAGTCAGGCTCTGTCCGGTATCTGCATACCTTACAGTTATTAGAGATAAAACTCGTGTCTTGTAACGTGCCTATACCTAGGCCGGAAGTTTGGGTGGAGTGCAGATACATGTCATGTACATGTCAGATCGACAGGCCCTTTTTCATTGAGGGATTCGTTGCGTTTCCTGTTTTGACCAGAACACATTGTCCACCCGCCTTTCTCTTTGCCGTTGTTGGGGTTGAGCCTTCAAAGCCCACCGTGGTTTGGAAGACGGGGTTTTCTTTCACATGCGCAGATCGCCGAGGTACCTTGATAATCGTGGATTGGGACGACACGATTTTTCCAACGAGCTGGCTCCAGAAAAAGGCCGCTTTGTTATGAAATCCACACCAAACCTAACTTGAAGTCCCCAAGCCCGAGACCCCCGGTTTAGTGTTCAGGGTTTAGGGATTTAGGGTTTAGGGATGTTTAGGGGTCCTAAACCTTGCCAGCTAAGGGTTGGTTCGCGCAGTGGGTGACATCTGGAAAGCTGGGAACCTTTATGGTGCGTGACTGGGTTCCTGTTGAGGAACTTAAATCAAGTTACCATAATGGGTTTAGGGTTTAGGGTTATCATAATGGGTATATATGGTAAATTATTGGGTTTGCCCAGTATAGTAACTTAATTTAAGTTCCTTAACACCAACCCAGGTGATGAGCTGGACATTCCATCCAACGACTTGGCTTTGATGGAGGAGCTGGATACAATCGAAGAGATGTGTAATGGTGGTCCCTAGTTTCCACTTGAGCTATGGTCCAAGCTCCTACATAGGGGAGTATATAGGGGAGTTTTGTGCGGGGTACTAAGGGGGATGCTAGGAGGCTGGACTATAGCTCATTTCACTTTCCACTATTAGGGTAATATCATTACCTAACCCCAATACCTATATTCAGCCCTAGATACGCATCCACAAGGAGCTGGATACGATTATGGAAGCCTTCCTGGAATCTGCATGCGAGCTGGGACAAGTGAGCCCCAGCCTTGGACTTGCTTCAACCCGTTGACTTATAGCCCCCCTGAAGTAGATAGAATATGGGGTATATGGGGATCTTATTATAATATACCCAAAGCCATATTCTATCTACTTAAGTGGGATTATAGTGCTTTAGAGTGAACATGGAGACTGCATAGCGGTACCTGGTCTAGCGGTATTTGGTAGTTTCCCTAAATAGGGGGACCCCATATAGACCCCCAAATGCTATCGACCCCCAAAAGGGTACCCCTACTTTTAGGAACCCCCGTGTATGAGGATTATAGGCATTATGAGAATCTATTCCCCCACTCCCTCAAGCCGGCGTTCAACAGCACTAGGCTGGACTCAGGTTGTGTAACATTGGCCCGCAGACCGTGGCAAGAGCGAACCATGCGAACGTTTCTCCCAAAGCTGCCGGGAGCTCTGATCGGAACAGCTGGGCCTGCAATCCAACGTAACCGCCACATCATCCCTACATGATCCCTCATATATCCCTAGTATAACCCCTACATAATGCAATCTCTAACCTCTTTTTCAACCCACAATGCCGTACTGAGGTCAACTGCCTGGGACAAGCATTTTGTCGTCGTGCGATATGCCCGCGAGGAGAAGCTCCTGGGACTTCACAGTGGTTCTATAGGGTTATATAGGGGTAATTGGGGGGTAAATTGGGATACTGGAAAAGAAAATGGAAACTACTATAGTGGGTTATATAAGGTTCACTCTGGGTTACATGACCTTTTAGGGTTTAGGGTTTAGGGTTTAGGTTGGGGGGACCTACAGGGGACTATATAGGGTTTTGGAGGGGATGTCTTAAGGAAAATGCTACAAATTTGGTCCAAATTTTTCGCTTTGGATCAAAAAACTGTGAAAAAACTGTGCAAAGTCTTGGCGTTACTCGGGC